CTGCAGTGGAGAGAGGACAGTCTGTATCAAGTTACATGGCTAAAGAACTTCAGAAAACTTAAGACCCTGATAAAAAGCATCCATTACAAAGTCATTTTTAAACTATCATGTGTGGCCCCTCTGAAGTAAATAACTTTTGAGACTGCAGCCATGGTACAAAATTTTGAATGACAGCCTTTAATATGAGAAATCCAGCATCTACTGTGTTCATTCATAAGGAAAACATTTCAACCCCATGTACAAAATAATCCAACTGCTGTAGTCCTTCTCTCCCAAAGTGATCGTTAATGTCTTCATCACATTTCTCTTTGTTGCAGAAAAATTAGTTATTTAGGTTTCCCCTAAAGATGCATCTCATTCTTGTCTCACTCTATTTCCGTATGGAAAGAAAGGAGAAGAAATTTCCATAAAGGTGGAAGCTGGACTCTAATCTTCCTGGAATTAAAGCTGTATTCAATGAACAGCAGTCAATAATAGTGGCTCCCTCTTCTATACATTTTCATTATATTAAGATTACCTCTACTTACTGAAGGTCACTCATAAAAAAAGAGTTCTTTCTAAGTAGTTTCCTATAACAGCATTTCACTATCTATTGTTCTTTCAGAAATAAGATACAGAGTCCCCTTGGATACATTACTGGCTGTATCCAGGGATGAGAAAATTGAAAGGACTACGCAATTCTCATAGCAAACTCCCAGAAGCTATTGAAAATGAACAGCCAAAATTATGCTTTTCTTTCTGTACCCAAAACTCTGGGGGAGTCTGTGGTCCACAAAAAATGCAATACTAAGCACTGTATCTTTACAGTTCCTTGATTTATTTGCCTTTTGAAAGATATGAACAAAGTCACTGAGAAATAAGTGATTATCAATGAGTTTTGTGATACTTTGTCAGTGTGTATTCTGCAGAATTGATGGGTCTGATGTATAGTCAAACATACTTTCTGTCTTGAATCATCTTATTGTAGAATCTTAGTAAAATGCAATGGGGAACAGCTATCTTTTTAAGGTGGTTTCTGCATTTGTTTTTATATAAAGAATCAGGAACCTCCTAAGCAATTAAATAATGGAACCATTTCCTGTGTCATAAGAATGTCCAAAATATAATTCTCCCAGAAAAATTAGATTTAAAATTATGACACATGCTATACATTTAAAAAAGCCTACATTAGATTTTGTGATGGGAAACACTCTTCTGCTGTAACCTGTGCCCTGTTGGTGCTCAAATGGTTTCCTGACCCTAGAAGATCCTTCCCTGCATTGGGAACTGTGTGTGGAGTGCGGGGGAAACTTTGGGTCTCTCTGCTAATTCCCCAAAACACAGAATTATTCCACTTGCCATTCCTCCAACAGAGTAGAAACTCTGAAACATGTTTTCTTCTCTAATAGATACTGCGAAAGGAAATCTTCTCACCAGAAATGACCTCAACAATCACAGCACTGCAGTGAACAACCATTTATGGTCAACATAGTTTCTGAACAATCAAACACAAAATGCCAGTAAATAAACCTTCATTATAATTTTGACATAATTGTCTTAGGTCAGCCTATAATTGGACTGGAAGGTCATAACCTCCTTATCCCAGCAAATTTCAATTAAAATCTCACTTCCTTTCTTGTATCCGTACTTCTGCAGCAAGGGCCTACTCCAAAGCTCTCTGAAGTCAATGAGAACCTTTGGCTTAGGGAGTTTTGGAGGCACTTGGGAAAAGAAGGTTCAGCATGCTTAGAGAACAAAGGCATTCTAAATAATGAATACATTGATGCAGAACTTTGCTTGAGTTGCTGTGTGCATAGATTGAATACATAAATATTACTGAACATATTTTTCATAAACTATCCCATTTATTAGCTCATTTTGGCAGTATATAGCAAAGCAGAAATAATTTTCAGTAACTGGATTATAGGATCTGCTAATTGAATAGCTTTTCTTTGAGTGCTTTAGAAAAAGTGTCAGCCTGGCAGCAAGCCTGAAGAATATTGACATGGGCTTGAACTGACCTGATTGAGCTGCTCTTACAGGATTCGTCTACAAAATGGTCCTGAAATAATTAAGACTCAATTGTGTCTTTAAGTCATTAACAATGGTCAGGGGTGGTGCAAAGGTGCACCACCTCAGCTGGAGCTCCTGGGCTTCTGTCAGGTGCTGTTTTTCTAGGAACTCAGGAGGAGCATGGCCACTCTTTTAAGGATGTATGCCAGCTGCCTTACATAGACTGTGTGTGTAGGGTGGGGATGACATTAATCCACTCCTCCAGCCACAGTGGAGAGGTTAGCACTAGGGTCAGCATCTGTAGTGATGCCTCAGCCAAGCTCAGAGAGATTGCTAGCAGGAGCTGATGAGGGGTGGGGAGGTTGTAACGCATGGCTATTCCCAATAACCCACATTCAGAGGAGGGCATGAATGTAGAGACGGATGAATCTCCACCTCACAGTAAATTCCAGCTCATTTGTATGACATTTTAGATGCATATAGGTCCAGATTTGTAAAGTTATTCAGCATTACAAGGCCTAAATGGCTAAGATGGCTATGTCCTGTTCAAGTGATTTAGGCACCTAGGAGCCTAAATCTCTTTAAGTCAATGCACTTAGGAGCTTAAGTCACTTTTAAAAAAATGAAACTTAGGGTCCTACGTCAGTTACGTGTTGCATTGCTGAGCAGAGCACCATCTAAACACAAAATTAAATTGTTGCAAACCTGCTGCTGCCTGTGGTCTAACCACTTGTTAGGCAGATTGGCAACTAGCTTCTAAGGCCACGCTGAGCTTTACTAACAGATAGTGTATGGCTCATTGGTATCATTTTAATTCAGACTGGAAAAAAGGCACACATTTTTAACAAGGAGGTAGGTTCCCCATCACTGGCAATTTTCAACTCAAGATTGAACTAGAGCATATATTTTAGAAAAACATCTAAATAGAAATTAATTCAGGGCAGTACAATGGCCTGAATTATGCAGAAGGTCTCATTAGATGATCACAGTGGTCCCTAGTGATCCAGTGGATATAGTGTACTTGGACATTCAGAAAGCCTTTGACAAGGTCCCTTACCACAGTCTCTTAAATAAAGTACGCACTCATGGGATAAGAGGGAATGTCCTCTCATAGATCAGTATCTGATTACAAGACAAGAAACAAATGGTAGGAATAAACAGTTAGTTTTCAGAATGGAGAGAGATAAATAGTGGTGTCTCCCAGGGATCTATACTGGGACCAGTGTGGTTCAACATATTCATAAATTATCTGGAAAAGGGGGTAAACAGTGAGAAGGCAAAATTTGCAGAGGATACAAAATTACTCAAAATAGTTAAGTCCAAAGCAAACTGCAAAGAGTTACAAAGGGATCTCACAAAACTGGGTGACTGGACAACAAAATGGCAGATTAAATTCAGTGTTGATAAATGCAAAGTTAGTGCACACTGGAAAACATAATCCCAACTTTACATACAAAATGATAGGGGTCTAAATTAGCTGCTACAATTCAAAAAAGAGATCTTGGCATCATTGTGGATAGTTCTCTGAAAACATCCACACCGTGTACAGCAGCAGTCAAAAAAGCAAACAGTGTTAGGCATCATTCAGAAAGGGATAGATAATAAGACAAAGTATCATAATGCCACAATATAAATACTTGGTAAACCCACACCTTGAATATTCTGTGCAGTTCTGGTCATCCCATCACAAAAAAGATAAATTAGAATTGGAAAAGGTGTTGTGAAGGGCAATAAAAAGGATGAAGGGTATGTAACAGCTTCCATATGATGAGAGATTAAAAAGATTGGGACTTTTCAGCTTGGAAAAGAGACAGCTAAGGTGGGGCGGATATGGAGGTCTATGAAATCATGGTGTGGAGAAAGTGAATAAGGAAGTGTTATTTACTCCTTCACATAACACAAGAACCAGAGACCACCCAATGAAATTAATAGGCAACAAACAAAAGGAAGTACTTCTTCACACAACACACGTGGGGACTCATTGCCAGGGGATGTTTTAAAGGCCAAAACTATAACTTGGTTAAAAAAAATTAGATAAGTTCATGGAGGATAGGTCTATCAATGGCTATTAGCCAAGTTGGTCAGGAATGGAACCCCATGCTCTGGGTGTTCCCTACCCTTTGATTGCCAGAAGCTGGGAGTGGATAGTGAGAACAGATCACTTGATAATTACCCGTTCTGTTCATTCCCTCTGAAGCACCTGGTATTATCCACTGTTGGAAGACAGGATACTGGACTAGATCAACTTTTGGAGCTGAGCCGCAGTCTCATCAGTCAACCAGGAGCTGATCTGGAGATCACCTACACTTGTGTCTATTGGTTTAGGAGTGATTGAGACACACCTAAATCCCAAGTGTTTCATCTTTTAAAGTCAGTTTGAAAATCTTATGTCTACACTACAGCTTATGTCAGCAAAACTTATATTGCTCCAGGGTGTGAATATTCTACTCCCTGAGTGACATAAGAGCATGTGTTCACAGTGCTATGTCAGAGGGAGAAGCTTCTGCTACTTGCAGAGGTGGGTTTTTTATGACGGGAGAGCACAGAGCATCTTCACCAGATGTGCTGCAGCTATATCGGTACAACTGCGCCACTGCAGCTCTGTACGTATAGACATGGCCTTAGACACACAATCTTTGACCACACCAGCAGAAAATTAGGCACATCCATCCCATGGCACACAGTGGTCATGAGCAAGCCTACCTCCAACTCTTTAAATATTACAAATGTGCCTAAATGGGAATTAGGCACTGGAAAAGACAATCAAATCATCACCAAAGTTCCTAAATTCTGCCCTTCATTCTTCAAAAAAATAGTATATATTTAAAAATACAATTCTTGTTGTTTGACGTTTACTCTCTACCAGCAGAATTCTGATGGGTGGTGTACCAAACAGTTCAGTAAAACTGAAGGTGTCTTTACAAAAATAAACATCATATATTTCTTATTTAAATGCTCTGTATAAAGAAAGATTCACAATGGCCATATAATGTTTATTTTATTACCATCTGGTGCTTTGCAATACATTGTTAGTATTCCAGTCTTTAATAGGTAGACTAAAAAAATAAATCATATCTAAAAAAGTACACAGTATTAGTTTAACCCATAATCAATACAGTAACTGACTCAAAGTCTGCTACATAGATGCTTTACAAACCAGAAAATATGTAATTAAAATCCACATGTCAAGAGATTTAAGATTAAATTACAAATGTTATTTTTAACAAAGTTAAAATTATCTAACCACATGGCTGCTAGTTTGGGAGTTTTCAAAGAGAAACTGTTGATACACTGTATGAATGTATGTATTTATATATATTAAAAGCAGTAATGCTCTAGGACTTTTACTGAAGAGTTACAAAAATATGTTCATCTGAAAAATATGCGCATCTACTTCAATGCAAAAATTAAAACATTTTTAAGTGTTGCACAAGCTTAATTGACTTCACACACTCTACGGTGTCACAAACGGAACAGTGCTGCTGTAATCATTTTAAACTGACAAATATGTATTCATACAGAACATATATACATACACTAGATATGTTGTGGGTATAACCATGACTTTCAACTATGGGTAATTGCAAATATGTACCAACCTGGGAATCCACTACCTTGTGCATTTGAACTGTGGGAGGAATAATTTTCAAGATGGTATTTCAATTCTAGGTAAAAAAGATTTCTAGCATGGAATTGTCTTTTCTGGAGGACAGTCCTAGAAATGACAACTTGGCATGGTCAGTCACTGGGCAATTTGCAGTTGCTCATAGGTATTAGTATCTGCGCATCTCTTATGTATACAGTACATACATTTATACACACATAGCAGGCACACACAGAGACTATATGCAAAAAAGCCCACATCAGTTATAGGCAGAGAAAATATCCTTAACAAGTTATGTTCTTGAAGGAAAAATGGTTAATGAATATATACAGTATATAAAAATCAATGCAGTCAGTTTACAAAAAATATAATAAGTGAGTTCAATATCTTTTTATACATCAAAATCTAGATATCCTGAGATCGGTATGGATTTCCATCTAATTTACAAATGCTTGGTGTACTGATGGAGTACAATTAGAAAAGCACTATGTGCAATTTTCAATGAGCACATAGAGAGAAAACATTTAAGGCAATGTGTTAATTTTAAGAACTATCCTGCAGACAGCATATTAAAACAACAATAGTGAAAATAAGCAACTATGTTGGCAGACACAAACCTGCCTAGCTGCAAAATTAACAAGTAAAGTATATTTGCATAAATATACTACAACTTTAGATTTTAAAGCTTCTAACTTTGAAGCCAACCAATGATACTTTCCTATTTTGAACTATTGTTTAACCATTATGCAACAGGACAGGTACTCACATCTTCAGGTACTTGTCTTCTTATATATACAGTATATCTAACAATGGATTAGTGATACAAAAACTGATGCCATTCACCTATCATTTTCTTTCAGTAAAAGCAGAACCATGAGGCATAATAAAAACAGATTGAATTATTGAAATCCTATACTGTACATGGGAGTCTAATCAATGAAGTTACTGATTGAAATATAATTATTATAGTGCCTAATGGAATTTAGTTGGTTTAGAGCCAAAACAATCAAAAGAGTAGCTCTGGCAGCTCTTGACTGCACTAAGAAGTTAAACTGAAGCACTTGTGCTGAAAACCCAAAGGTTTGTCTAAATATACTAAAGAGTTGTCTCAGAGGGTGTGAAATTGAAGGTTTTTTTGCTGATAGCAAAAACACCTTAAATTTGTGTATATCTAATGCAAAAAAAACTATGTTTGACAACTAGAAACTGGAATTAATTCATTATCTTACATTTGTACATTTAAAATCTAAAAGGACAACATAGTAAGTGTTATGACATTTTTAATTTATTCGGATTCTTAATTTTGAGAAACAGACTGCATCAGTTCTCATTTCACAGAACCAGGACCTTTAAACAGCCAATAACATATAGGTGGTAGTTATAGAAACTGTCCCAGTCACTCCAGCTCTGTCCTAGAATAAAAGTATAATCTTCCTCTAGACATGAATGTTGTAATGGATTAACTATTTCATGGCTATTAACCTTTCCATCTAGATTTTTAAATATTCTATATATCCTTCATAGAATGAAAATTGTAATTACTACTAAGATGCAGTGGCAATTACATTTTTATATATACACACATATTTATTTAAATTTTCTTCACAGATGTGTTTTAGTTAATTTGTATGAAAAAATAAGTGACACACACCAGTTATCTTCCCCAAATTGCTGTAATATATTGCAGTACAAATAAACTACATAACTGGTTGCAGAAGAAAAGAAGATTTAACAATTCCTGTAAGTTATCACTTCTTGTCACTTGCAAGCCTAAGAATTTATGAGAGGATAAACATAATGTGTGTGATGAGAAACTGTTTTTTAATCCTGTGTGTGTACATACCATGAGGGGTAAAGACATCCGGCACAGTCATTTACAAAGATTTGTAAATGTATAATTTAAGAGTAAGGCTTCTTCAATGCCACTCTGAATTAATTGGGGCTTAAATGTGTTAGGATGTGTGATTTATTTGGAAAATGAGGCCAAGTGCGAGGATATGCAAACTGCAAGATGTCTGCAACTGAAATGGTTAAGATTGGGATTTTCAAAAGGCGGCTAAGCAAGTCAGGCACCCAATTCCCATAGAAATTCATTTGGAGTTGAGGGCTAAACCCTTTAGGTGCCTTTGAAAACATTATCTAAAACCTACATTCATTCACAGCACAGGCCATTGGTTCTAAGAAGTGGAAGTGGCTTGCATAATGAACCTATTGTTTCCTAGGGCAAGTAGAGCTGGGCACTCATCCCTTTTTGCCTTCCCAACCCCATAGGTATTTGGCGCATATAATGTAAAAATAGATGCACAAATACAGGGCCAAAATCTTCAATGCCTACTCAGACAAAACTCTAATTGAAGAGTTTGGTTCAGTGACTTTGTCTAATACCAGTCTGACCTCAGTGCTTAATAAATATCTATTATCCTGTGCTTTCAAATGCAAACAAAAGCCAATCAAAACAACCATATTACACAGGTGGCATATTTACACTCCTGCACTGTCAATGTGACTCAGTTTATATTCAAACATAGGGAGCAATAAAGTAGCATCTCCTTATTTAGTCCCTGATAATATATGTTCATGTGGCAGATTCACTTCACTTGGGTATATCATGCAGCAATATCAATTTCACTCACCTGATAGCACTCTTGCTTCTAAATAAACATGTTATGTAGTTCAGTCTCACATGAAGACTTGGGCTCATACTAAATGATGACACCGTCATACTAAACATGTGCTACACAGTTAGTGGTACCATCCCTGGCATGAGAAAATAGTGCATTCCATGTATTTCTTGTATTCAACCAAGCAGAAGCTGAAGAGCTCTTGCAACTTTCTGAATGGAGTAGGGATTATCCTAGCCAATACTCCCTCTCTCAGTAAAATATGCAAGCTGTGAGATTCTCTGACTATAATAGGAATTATATGAAACCAAACCCCAGCCCTTTATTTTCTACGAGTGTTGGGTCATCCCAGAAAAACAACCTAGGTTTTCCTATTTCATGTATATCTTATGAGAATAGAATTTTGTGTTTATCAAAATGCATCAAAAAGTCACACCTTCCAACAAGTATTAGAAGGGTGTAAACATACAGAATGGAAGGAAAATTGTGACTTTATGAAACATTCAGTGTAACTTGTTTTTGTCACAGTTTAAGGAAATTTAATAGATTTTACATTTAAGCTTGGATCACTACTTAATTGGTATGAATACACACACACACACACACACTGCAGCTATATGTGCACACATATACACCTGTGTGTATACAAAAATATTTACTTTGTTACCAAAATTAAGTTCTTTATAGCAAAATCAAGAATACTGAAGAAGGTAGGCATATTAATTTCTCCTTTGGAGAAAAGTAATAAACCCATTGTATGTCCTACATAAAGAACACTCTTTGCAAAGTACAACTCTGTATTGACATATTTCTGTACGAGTTAGAGTTAATAAATGTGTTGAAAATTCATAAATAAGTAAATATAGATCTGCTAAATCTATGATGTAGAGGTTTTTGTGCCAAAGCATAACTATAACTAGCTGTAGTACAGAAAATACTTATACATTTAGATTATATATGCTACTCTCTAATATCTAACTATTACTAGTAGCAATATTTTAAAACATCGTTTTTGCTTTAATGTGCATGAATGTGAAGGGTAATTTTGGTGCATTTATTTTCTCTAAAAACACTTTGGCCAGAAAACAATTAAACGTGTATATTTGTCATGGTCCCTCAACATTCTCAATACAGTCTGCAAATTAAATCCATAACATTATAAAGTTACCAATCTCCAAAACCAACGACTTCTACAACTGTAAAATGTAACTGACAAAATATTGTATATGCTGGTATAAAAATATTAAGCTTCAAAACTATGCTTTATCTTAAATACTCTAAAATGCAAAATATTCCAGTTTAAAGCTAGAAGTTTGCCCTTAGCTCAATGTACACTGCTTAGCTATTATAGCATGTATAATACTGTACAAAGATATACACTACTGTTTGAAGACCCCTGAAATACAGAAGCACAACAAGGTATATTTAAGACAGCTTTTACAGGTCAAAGTCTGAACTTCTTTCTAATTATGGGTGGAAATCGGACCCATAATGTCAATTTTCTCTAACTGAAGTTTATTTTTTATTCTTATGGCAACTTCAAAAAGGGTAAAAGAGCACCATCAATTCACTATGCAATAATAGGCTTCTTTAAACCCAGTACAACAATCGACCCCTTAAGACATAGCTGAGTTTACTGTGTTGGAGCTAATTCTGTAAGTATTTATTCACATGAGTAGTCAGACTGAAGTCAATGGGACTACTTGTGAGATGAATTCTTATTTTTAATAGGCATTTACAGCATATACCAGAAGTGTTAATTTCCTTATTGCTCAAAGTTAGGAAATTACGATAAAATATTGGTGGGAAAGAAGGGAATTAGCAGTGCACGGGACATCAAATGTGTCAAGTGTCAAACTCTGGAGGATTTATTTTAGGCTTTTTTCCCTTTTCAAGTTCATTCTGTGAACACAGGAACAGCTTTTATATGGTTCAGATGGAATGGCTTTGCCATTAGATATTTGCCTTCATGCTGCTACCAATGCATAATGGGGTAATTTGCGTTGCTGAACTGGCCACAAGAGAGACAACCTGATTCCAGTGTAAAATATCCAGGTAAAAACCCATAAAGTTCCTGTTTTATGGAAGGGAGACCATAGTGCATGGAGTCCAGAAATATTTTCTCCAGAAGTCAGTTGTCCAATGCTGATAGAAAAATATTAAGGACAGACACTTCTTTATCCTGAGTGAAAGGCCTCTATTTATCAATTCTCCAGGCACGTTCTACTAGAATGCCATTTAATTTTGCTGTATAGTCCAATGTCTTAAAAGATGTTACTTGATTACTTCTTGGGTAGTTCTCTTCATTCTTCCCCAGCAGGAGGTGGTGGCTGGCATAGCTTGTATAATCTGGCAAAATGAAAAAGAGCCATCATATTAGTCTGGGAGTACTGTCATTATTAAAATGGTCTGATAGAGGCAAAACAAACTAAATCTGAAGTTATATTTTGGTGATCCAGTTGCTACAAATGCAAGCTGCAAAGTCAGACCTTTCTCTCCATCACTCAAACAAGCAGAAGCTCCACTTAGGACAGCTCCACTTTTGTAACCTCAGCTCCACTTAGGACAGCTCTGCTCTCTAGTTTGCCTTGCCCTCTCAAGGACTGCAGTACATATGCACAGCAATTTGCAGACCCAATTCCTATTGGCTGGCCATCACATGTTTTATTAACTGTTTATTTTTTTCTCTGTTTGTATGTCTCCTACAAAATGCTCCCATTTGGTCTTGGGTTCCAGCAGACTAAGACAGACATCAGATGCACCACAAGTACATATGTCAGCCTTCGAATTTTGGAGAGAGAGACATTAACTGAAGTCAGAGAAATTAAGGACTCAAGGTAACAGGTTCAATGCAAAAAAAGATCAATACAGTCTGAAATAGTTGTGCTGCCAGTGTTTGTCAGCTCCTCCATTTATGAAGACACTGACATTTCTATTAACTCCTTCATCACAGGTTGGCTTTTAACAAATGTTTGTAAAGTTACCATTACATTAATACCAAAAATAAAGGACAATTATTCTGACTTGAGGCTCACTGTAGCGAGGACTTTTCTGTTCTATGAGAAAGGGTAGGAAAATGCCCATCGCTTTGCAGCATCTCCCCTCACACTGCAGTACTGTGACACAGTACTAAGAATGGTCTAATCTGGAGTCTACATATTTCCTGAGAGAAAGTGCATCATTGCAGCAGGTAGAAAGAGATAATAAAAGGAAGAGACTAAGGCGTCTGGCAGGGCAGGGAGGAAGTGTGGCAGAATCCAAAATGAAGTGATCATTGCACATAAAGCAGTTAGATGTCAGGAGATTGTGACATTGACAAAGCCAGAGAGCAAGAAATAAAAATATGTTTAATGTGTTTGAGTATTATGAAAGATGCTGATACCTACACTTTGTGGTTTTGTGGTACCTGAATTTTTGCAGGGAAGTTTGCAAACTTCCAAACCAAACTTCAAATATCTTTAGAATCATAGAAGATTAAAGTTGGAAGAGATCTCAGGAGGTCATCTAGTCCAACCCCCTGCTCAAAGCAGGATCAACCCCAGCTAAATCATCACAGCCAGGGCTTTGTCAAGCCGGGCCTTAAAAACCTCTTAGGATGGCGATTCCACCACCTCCCGAGGTAACCCATTCCAGTGCTTCACCACCCTCCTAGTGAAATAATTTTTCCTAATATCCAACCTAGACCTCCCCAACTGCAACTTGAGACCATTACTCCTTGTTCTGTCATCTGCCACCACTGAGAACAGCCTAGCTCCATCCTCTTTGGAACCCCCCTTCAGGTAGTTGAAGGCTGCTATCAAATCCTCCCTCACTCTTTTCTGCAGACTAAATAAGACCAGTTCCCTCAGCCTCTCCTCATAAGTCATGTGCCCCAGCCCGCAAATAATTTTCGCTGGACTGTCTCCAATTTGTCCACATCCTTTCTGTAGTGGGGAGCCCAAAACTGGATGCAATACTCAAGATGTGGCCTCAACAGTGCCGAAGAGAGGGGAATAATCACTTCCCTCGATCTGCTGGCAATGCTCCTACTAATGCAGCCCAATATGCCGTTAGCCTTCGTGGCAAGAAGGGCACACTGTTGACTCTTATCCAGCTTTTCGTCCACTCTAATCCCCAGGTCCTTTTCTGCAGAACTGCTGCTTAGCCAGTCAGTCCCCAGCCTGTAGCGGTGCATGGGATTGTTCCGTCCTACGTGCAGGACTCTGCGCTTGTCCTTGTTGAACCTCATCAGATTTCTTTCAGCCCAATCCTCCAGTTTGTCTAGGTCACTCTGGACAGTATCCCTACCCTCCAGCATATCTACCTCTCCCCACAGCTTAGTGTCATCCGTGAACTTGCTGAGGGTGCAATCCATCCCATCATCCAGATCAATGAAGATGTTGAACAAAACCGGCCCCAGGACAGACCCCCCGGGGCACTCTGCTTGATACTGGCTGCCAACTAGACATCAAGCTGTTGCTCACTACCGGTTGAGCCCGATGATCTAGTCAGCTTTCTATCCACCTTATAGTCCGTTCATCCAATCCATACTTTTTTAACTTGCTGGCAAGAATACTGTGGGAGACCGTATTGAAAGCTTTGCTAAATTCAAGATATATCACGTCCACCACTTTCTCTATATCCACAAAGCCACTTAGCTCATCATAGAAGGCAATCAGAGTGGTCAGGCATGACTTGCCCTTGGTGAATCCATGCTGACTGTTCCTGATCATCTTCCTCTCCTCCAGGTGCTTCAAAATGGATTCCTTGAGGACCTGCTGCATGATTTTTCCAGGGACTGAGGTGAGGCTGACCAGTCTGTAGTTCCTCGGATTCTCCTTCTTCCCTTTTTTAAAGATGGGCACTATTATTTGCCTTTTTCTCTAAGGAGTCATGGGTCAGACACTAGGTGGGTTCCGCCTTGCTGCCAGAAGCAGTAAGAGGGAACTGAGAGAGGGTTGCACCTGCTCTGCCCTTTCTGTCCTTGCAAAGGAGCACAATGTGGCACAGGGCACTAACATGGAACTAACCAACACCGCTATTCAAAAGACTCTGATCTCACATGTTTGAGGTGCATGTGCACCCACAGTAGGATCCCTGCTGACACATATACTCGAAGCAGCAGCTCAGATACAATGCAGAGGAGATTAACTGTCAAGGAGTGATGCCTGGTTGCTCCATAAGTGATTTTTGTAAGGAACTCATTAAGTGGTCTGTTCTCCTACTGGAGAAAAATTGGTGGAATCAGAGTTGCCAGAAAGAGGAGGGAAGCAGATGGTTCCTAAGAAGGAAGGGCTGGGGAATCCAGAAGATACTGTGTTGACTGGTTGGGAATGCAGAGACTTCCCCATGGTTAGACAGCTAAGGGGAAACAATGGCAACATATTCCACATTAAAAAGCCTCTCATGCTCCAGCTTATGTGGTATGAATTTTAATGTTTCCATTTTGGAGAAAACAAAGATAAAACTTGCTAACACAAAATTATATAAATTCAGGAGATATTTCACACTACTGGTTTTACTTCCAAAGCTTTTAACCCTTGGGTAACAAACTCCCCACCTTTGTAACTTATCAAACTGGTCAATTTCATTTGATTTGTTTTGGAGTTAAGCTCAAAAAAAGGAAAACACACACACACACACACACACACACTTTTCTCTTTTGATTATTGATCAGAATCCTGAAGTCTCTCTCATATGAAGCTTTGTTGTTTTCCATTGTTTATGTTCTTAAATATTACATTGTTTCCTTACTGGAATTTTAACACCTCAGTGGGTCTATTATCTGTTATCTACATATATTCCTGTTTATGTATCTATAGTATATCACTGTGTAATTATTATTCAACAACCGAATATTAGATTTTAATCAAACTGAGAGACTGTAAACAATAAGATAAACTTCAGAGTAAATTTTCGAAGTATTGCATGAAATTTTAATTCTGCAACTAGTTTACTGTAATTGGAGTTATGTGGTTTTAAACCCAAGTAATTCTCTGGATATTAAGAAGCCAAACTTTGTCCATAAGTACAGTGAAGTCAATTTGAGCTGCATGCTTGTGACTGGGAGAATGATTAAGCACAAACTAGACAAATCATGGACTCGGACACAAACAACTGATTCTACTATTTAGTTACCTTGGGACAGATTGTGGCGTTCGGTCCCTCACTCCTAAATTCTTGGCAGTGTTCTGCACTCTTGCTCCCTGCAAGAAAGAAAAAAGATTTTGCTTCACACCGAGCTAATGCAAGTTTTAGTGTACCTTCTGGGTGTATAATAGGCCAAGGATTAGATTTATCAATAAATAAACTTCACTATTGATGTCCTACATAAATAATTCTTTTCTTTTGAAGGCAACCAAGAAAAACACTTTCTAATAAACGCTACTAAATATGATTTTATAAAGGTGCAGGAAAAGAGAGAAAAAAAGCAGATACAAACAAAGATCTTCACAAAAAAAGTTTAACATTTAAGTTGTGAAGAAGCTAACAACTACACTACTCTCACACTGCTGATTCAGTTTTCCTGGCATTCCTCGCTCTTCTGGAGTTCTCACTCTTCCACAGTTCCCATCACAATCAGTGTGAGTTCTGAGTAACTATTACAGGTTCCATCCCACACCCAAGAATCCTCCTTATGAGCAATTGTCTGTTTAAGCACAGAAAAGGATGGCCTGTGCTTAAGGCACTAGATGAGGATACGGTAGATATGGGTTCTATTCTTGGCTCTGAAACAATCTTCCTGTATAACCTTGGCCAAGTTACTCTCTCCGTGTCTCAGTTCCCCATTCATAAGACAGGAGTAATAATGCTTTCCTACCTCACAGGGATATTGTGAGGATGAATTCATTTAAGCATGAAAGCTGCTCAAATACTATACTGATGAGCAACACAGACAAGTGGTGCATCAATGGAAATTAATTAACCTGACTTTCCAAAAACAGTCAGCAAGCAATGGCAGATCTACTAGACGTATTATTATTGCCAATCAAAAAGAACAGATCTAATAGACTTACTATTGCCAATATTTGTTTTCTAGTTTTTAGAGGAAGCAAAACCTATTCATTCTCTTTCTCTCTCTCTTTCCCCTCCCTTCCCCAGGTCAAATGCAAAACAAAATGAAGACAACAAATAACTGCACATGAAGGTATAAATAGATTAATCTCACAATAATTAAACTGAGAGAATATCAATTTTGTGTGGGATAGAGGTAAAGTTATATCTAAAACAAGACATATCTGTAGTGACAAACCGTGCAAAGGTATGGCTCAGCCACTGATTGGATTGAGTATTAGAGTAAGTAAATAACTTGCATTTTGGCTAAAATTTGGTACCTCAGTCCACTACCACAATAAAACCCCCACATTAGTACACAATAAAGGACTCAAACAAAAGATGGAATAGACTAAATACCTGCAGGCAGCAGGTATTCACAATTAGAGTAAACAGACACATGCAACTTAAAAATCATTGTTTTGTTATCTATTTTTTAAGTTTAATGGTACTGAAGAAAAAAACAACCCACACTTATCTACTTAAACAACTCTAGAACAACTATGAAAAATTAAATTCACTAAATACTTCATAAATAGCATTTCTTTCATGTTTTATAAAGTACAATATATTCTGAGAAAGCAAAAATATTGATTAAACTTTTTAACATTAGCTATTGCCAAAACACACATCATTGGTACATCTAATTTGAAAAACCCTGATGTCAATATCTCTATGACACATGTAACTCTATCATCATTAATAAACCACTTTGAATTGTTTGACATGGGTATGTATATATCAAAGATAAATTGCTGATGGTCAAGATCGATGTGATTAACTTAACTGAATACCAGTGTATACATAATATATATGAGAATATATTAACATTAGTCATATGTAGATCCCGACTTTTAACACTGAAACTGCTTCAGAGGAAGAAAAATAACATATTTTTATTTACATCACCCACTAGACAAATTAATCCTAATATCTAGCTAGCATAGTAAATCAAAAGTGTTGATTTCAAAGGATTTTGGCTTTATACATCCATCTAATATACTGTTTATTAGGAAAACAAATTAGACCTTACTTAAACCACCCCCACCAACAGGTTCATTTTTTCTCCTGGGGGCTGGGAATCAGGATTACTAATAGCTTGCTATGTGATCCTTCATCCTCCATTTTAGTACATCTAAATCACTTGTGACTTTATTTTTTATTCAAGAAATAATTTGCTTTTTATTTTTTCTGCCCATCTGATATTTTTAAACCAATAACAATCTGCATGTTGAAATTGCTAGTCCCATATTTGAGTAACAGATAGCACAGTTAAAGAGCATTAGAACTCTTTGCTCTGTGAACCAATAGTGCCTGGGCACTCATGGAAGATGACCTTTATCTTTGGATAGAGAAAATTCCATCACCAGATCTGTAAATTGATTTATGAAGCGGTATTTCTATTGTCGTTAGAAAAAAAAAAAGACAGACCCACTCTGCCAGGACACTTACATAAGAACGGCCATACTGAGTCAGACCAAAGGTCCATCTAGCCCAGTATCCACTCTTCCAACAGTGGCCAATGCCAGGTGCTTCAGAGGGAATTAATAGAATAGGAAATCATCAAGTAATCCATCCCCTGTCATCCACTCCCAGCTTATGGCAATCAGAGGGTAGGGGACACTCAAAGTATGGTGTTACATCCCGAATCATCTGGCTAATAGCCACTGATGGATCTATCCTCCATGAACTTATCTAGTTCTTTTTTGAACTCTGTTCACAATACCCCCAGCAATGATTTTCACAAATTGACACTTGTTTAAGGAGGGCAAAAAGTAACCACGTTTTTGTGAATTTCTGTACCCCAAAGCAATACCCTGGCACCCCCATATTTACAATGGTGATATAATTATGATATGTTTTATGCAAAGTATACCTTGTAAGGTATCATTCTAAAAGTCTTGATCTGTTGAACATTAATATTCCATTGGAATGTATGTGCTATCATTGTATCTGAAGTTATGAATATTAACTATGTACCAGTATTTCAAATGTGTTTGTAACTCCTATAAGGGGGGAGGGATAGTTCAGTAGTTTGAGCATTGGCCTGCTAAACCCAGGGTTGTGAGCTCAATCCTTGAGGGGGCCACTTAGAGATCTGGGGCAAAATCAGTACTTGGTCCTGCTAGTGAAGGCAGGGGGCTGGACTCAATGACCTTTCAAGGTCCCTTCCAGTTCTAGGAGATAGGATAAGGTAGTTTACATCCAGTCTAGCCAGCACATTGTGAATGGACTATTTAAGCTAATGGCCCAATAAATGAACACAATGGGCCATGGCAGAAGCTTATGCCCACCTGATGGACTTTTCTGGGGACATTCTATCCAGAATATGGGTAATGGCCCCTGCTATGACTCATCGAAGCATGCAAGGGCATGTGACTGGAACATGTGATACTGGATTCCAACTTGTGCCTGTACTTTTCCACTAACTGTGCCTGGGGCTTTTTTTGGGACAATGAAGTTCCCACCACATGGAAGAAGCTATAAAAGGGGGAAGTGACATCATCACTTGGCCTCACTTCTCCCACAACTCAACACCTGGAAACACCGTAGGAACAAAGTCTGAACTGGGGATATGGTCCCAGGCTGAAGGGATTTCTAGTCTGAGTATGGAAGACTGTTTGTACCATCAGGGTGAGACACTGCTTGATTCAAATCTTGTCTAGTCTATAGAACTTAGATTGCAATTTTGTTTTATTTCTTAGGTAACCAACTTTGAGCTGTACACTATTACTTACAATCACTAAGAATCTATCTTTCTGTAGTTAATAAATGTGTTTTATATATTTTTTTTACCTAAAACAGTGTGTTGTTTGAAGTGCAAAGTGAAATCTGCTCAGGAACAGGGGCTGGTGCACTGTCCTCTCCACACTAAGGGAGGGGCAAACTGGGTAATAAACTTACACTGGTCAGGCTTTTGACCAGGGCTAGACGGTATAGCTCTGGGGTCCTAGGCTAGGGAGCTGTGGGGGATTGGCTGGAGCCTCTCTATTGTTGGTTCATGAGTGGCGAGCAAAAGCACTCATGTAACTGCAATTGGGTGTGTCCATGCTTATGTATGACTGTGCAAGTGCAAGACCTGGAGAGGATTGCAGCTTGTCACAGCCTCACAGTGTGAGAGGGGGCACAGATTGGTATGCCAGAGGGCTCAGCAGTATCCGCAGGGAAATCTGTCACAGTTTTGAAAAAAAGTAGCTTACATTTGTGCCTATATAATCAACTGAGCACTGAATCTGTATCGCAATGTTATAGAAAATGCAATGTTATTGTATATCCACGTTAAAGCAATGAAAAAATGTTACTCAGGGTAAGACAACACAAATAATGTTCCCAGGCTTTTCTGCCCACTTATCTTTTCAGTCTCCTTCTCCATATCTTCTTCCATGTGGACTCTATGCAAACTATGAGCTCATCCTCAAGGCTTCTAACCTCTCCAAATTTAAGTCTCTCTTGAAAACCCACTTTTGTCATGCTATTTATAGAGAATTAAGCTGACTTTATACACACACACACACATATATATATATATCTACACACATATACATGCACATATAGCCTGTTGTTGTTCCTTTTGTCCTGTCCTCTGTTTACTTGTCTGTTCTTAGATTGTCAATTCCTTGGAGAAAAGAGCATCCTTCCTGAATGTTTGGAAAGTGGCTACCATGTAGTGATAAGAAAATTTTTAACAATAACCTCATATGCTTTTATGATCAGTTATATCAACAGCTCAGCTCCCCTAACTATTACACATTCCAGGCATTTGGGAAGTTATTCTTCATTAATACGATTGAGGTCCCTGTTAAGGTTTTGTATTAGAATTCAATCTTGACAATTTGGAGTACATATTGCTTTTGGGGATGTGATAGGAGATGAAAATGAAAGCTTTATGGAGTGTTTGAGTGTGTTATTAACACAGCTGTAGGCAATATGAATGTGGAAAGGAATGCACATGTCTTTCTCCTTAACTTTTTTCCATGCTTTTAAGGTTTTGGGTGGGTGGGTTGTGTCCTGATGCAACCTTAACAGCCATTAAATATAGTTTTTGTTTGTTAATTTCCTAGTTTTTAATACAACTTTGTGTATTTCAGTGGATAGTGCCCCAAAAGTCATGGAGAAAGGAAACTGTACCTGCCTGGGAATCAGAGGAATAAAC